TTTGTACAGTGTGTTAGTGCTATGGTTGAGTCCCTGAGGGGGCTGCTTGAGTCCCAGCCTTGCTATTGTCTGAGGAGCAGACAGAGTCTGTACTTTCACTTTCTTTTGTTCTTGCCTGAGGATGTATACCCAGCATGACTCTCCATAGACTCTAGCCCCACATCTAGTCAGCAATCAGTCAAGCACTGTAATGGAGTTTCACATTCCTTTACCGAGATTAATGGGAACGCATCTCACATTCAGGTCTTTCACATTTACTTAAGGTCCAGGGATGCAGAATTTTAATTGATATGAAAATACAGCAATCATTAACTATAATAACATTGCTAATTATTGACTGCACACATGCTCTCAGTGAACTTTCCAACCAGACAGATTCCAGGCAGCACTTGAAAGATAAATGCCATTCTCTGAATAGACTGTAGGCGACATTGATTAACTTATAAGAATTAGACATCATATCACTGAAATAACCACTTCAGTACTTGGATGCCTCATTTGTTTAACACATTATAAAAAATGAATAATGAAACAAAAAATATAACCCAGTGTGTATCGGCTGTTTATGCTATATTATTACACACTTTAGTTTGACTTTAAAATATCTCCCTCTGTCACTCACATCTACTGACATGCAGGAGCAACTGCAACACTACGACTTCAGCAAGTTCCCTTCTTTGAAGGTGAAGTTGATTGAATCCGTGGACAGAATGTTGTCCACCAAGATCTCAAGCCTGATGAACATGATCCGAGAGGAAGAAAGCAAGCAGCCTACTCAGATGGTAATGGGTGGAGCCTTTGAGGACTCGTCCGACGGGCCTTTCGGCCACGGCTATGGTGAGGGTATCAGTGCAGGGGCTGATACTGAGGACTGGATTGTGAGTAGCGACAAACATCGCTACGATGAAATCTTCTACACACTGATGCCTATCAATGGGAAAGTAACTGGCATCAATGCCAAGAGGGAGATGATGAATTCTCGTCTGCCCAACACTGTACTGGGAAAGATCTGGAAGCTGGCAGACTGTGATAAGGACGGCATGCTGGATGATGAAGAATTTGCTCTTGCTCAGCATCTTATTAAAATCAAACTGGAGGGATTTGAGCTTCCTACAGAGCTTCCAAATCACCTAGTACCTCCATCGCACAGGAAGGACCCCACTGCAGACATCTTGTACAACCACCAGGAGGATTGATCACATTCATATCTGTATATTTATCAGCCAGCTGCTAGCACAACGTGGCCTTTGAATATTGAAGTCTTACTTCATTGAAAGGGATGAAGTTTTATTGGTTAAGCCATCTTTCATCTTCAACAGTGCTGTTAAAATTAGACATGTGTGACTTTAACATGCCTAAGACTGAGTATGTTTTAATATAAGTGCACCAATTCAGTGTTAAAGAAAAATAGATTCATATTTTTGAAAGACATACATATTTGGCATACAAATTTAAATTACAGCCCATATAATTGTGATTACTTCTAAATCCATGACCTTGTGTTATTTCACCATGTGCTTGCAGATTGTGAAAATGGATGACAGTGCAGTTGTAGATCATTCTATGCAGTGCTTTCAATATTATATTACATTTCATATTAAATAACAATTTCGGTTAAGTATGCATGACAGCAGCCAAAAAAATACCCATACATGACACACTATCACAGAAGCACTCACAGAAGTATCCATTCATTTCACTCATTCTGACAGAGTGTGAATATCTATTAAATTAATTTCGAAACACATTCTTTTTTTTTTACTTTAATCTTTTCTTTGAATGTACATTTTTGTATGAACTGGAAAAAAATACTACATATAGGGTTTACGCGGGTCCTTAAAAAGTCTTACATTTAGTTGTAGCCTATTGAATTTAAGGCCATAAAAAGTCTTAAATGTTACAAGCAAGTTTTAATTATGATTTCAAGAGGTGTTAAATTTGTGGACGGAAAGACTAGAATTGCTATATGGCTGAATGTGACTATTAAACTTCAAAAGGCTTTGATTTCATTAAATAAACATGAGAAACCACTATATTTTTGCCTTTTCGAAAGCGCCTCCTGCTGGCAGAGAATGAATTAGCATTTTCAATAAGCCGTTCTGTTGTTTTTGTTTAGACCAATGTGAAAATCAACCCATGTTTTTATGCAGCAAACACACAGTGTTGTAAATGTGAACTGGTGGGTCGACAAGAAAATAATGCATTATAAAAATCTCAACAATTGAGACAGAAAAATATATTTAAATGTTATTTAATTAATATAATATTTGATTGATAATAATTGTTTAAATTAATGTAATAATTAATACTTTTGACTAATCCCTTTTCTTAAAAATGGTTTAAAGGCTGAAATGTGGCGTTCATAATTTTATAAAACTTTGTTTTTGAGAAAACTTGTATCTGACCTGTAAATCATGCTTTTTATGGTAATTTTACAGTTTAATATGTTAGCATAGACATGAGCGCTATGCCGCTCATATGGTATTAATTTTATTTGTGCAGGTCTTAAAAAAGGTCTTAAAAGTTCTTAAATTTGAGCTTAAAGATCCTGCAGATACCCTGTACATAAACTTTTTCTCACACTGGGTGTTAATTTTTTTATGTTTTGGATCGAATTGCAAGACATTTATGTACACAAATAGACACATTTGTAACAGCATTATTCTGAACAGCACTGAGTTTTGACAAAGTATTTTGTGTGTGTGTGTGTGTGTGTGTGTGTGTGTGTGTGTGTGTGTTTGTGTGCGCGCACGCGCCACGCGCTCATCCATGCCTTTCTTCTGTTTTACACCAACTAGATTGTGAAGAGTTATATTAGTTTATAGTGGCAAGCATTTAAAAATGTCAAACATATACATTTAAAAAATAATCCTGCAAAAATATTCTACAATTTCAGTATTCAGGAGAGTACAGAGCTTCTTCCTTACTGGGGATT